AAGATGTATCGGAGTGTCCGGCGAAGGAGAGTCAACAGTGATTAAGATTGAAAATACTTTTGAAGAGGGCTGCCACCTATTTGAAAGGTCTAACTCAATTAACGAATTCAAAAAGTGTATGATATATAAAAATAACGCAGTCAAACGAAAGAGTGTTAAGAGATCTTTAGTTTGAACATTTCAAATGTTTGAGGAGAGTTGCTACGTATTTAAAAAGTTGCATTTAAATTATTCAGTAAGGTGGATGAATTATTAAAAGATGGGTATAAGTCGAATTGGGTTTGAAAGGGATTTATTCCTGACCTTTATTTAAGAGGGTTGCCACTTGTTCGAACATGTGTATCACAATATCAGACGAAAGAGATTTAAGAATATTTCGTTTTGAGAATACTTTTGAAAAGGAATTTCAAAAAGTAGATGTCAAATTAGAGACCTTAGCCTATAGATGTATGATAAAATTAAATTTTTTTAATTAAGAACTTTTTTTATCGGTAAAAGGTGATTCGACAGTCGATGAAAATAAAAACATCCACCATGCGAGACTGCTCTTCACTCAGAAACGGCTGCACGGTTTTGATGAAATATGGCAATGGGATCTCTTATAACTCTAACTACCATTGGAATATTTTTAAGTTTATGAAATTCAATTTTGGGCGTTTTAACGCCATACGAGTTCACTAGTATTAGGATATAAATATTAAATATTTTTCACTTCACTTCTCAAACATCAAATGGAAGAGCTTACTAGAGTAATAATATTTTGGAGTATCAATCCATGCCGGTTGAAGCACCCCCTAAACAAGTCCGACAAAAACTAAAACGCTACTAGTCGCAAAGAGGCTCTTCAACCGCGCAGATATGCAATCTGAATGCTGCCAATGGCCACAGTTCCTACCCATACAATTTTAAGTTGAATTAATAGTTTTCGTGGGAAAACCTTCATTCAGCATTGAAGTAAAACATATGTTCCTTGTGCAAAAATTTTTAACATACACACATATGTCCCTGAACACAATACCACACAGCCGCAAATTTAACTGACCGTATGGTTTTGCATAAACCCTGTCGAATTCCTTAATCTACACCTAACGAAAATCTACTTGCTTGTCTTTCATTTCTCATGCATACATACATTGACATATGTACATTAGGGTGCACCACCCAAAAAAAAATGCGGGTTTTTCACGGCAAATATGTAACTTATTATATTTTAAGGCCTGTGCCAAAAAATCTCAGAAAATAATTAAGATTTACGCGAGCTGGATCTCCGAAAATGTCTCCAAAAATCTCATTATTTTGATTCCGCTGATAAATTTTTTAAACATTTTTATAAAAACCTTTTAAACTTGAAATTGGTTTTTGGTCGGAGGTGATTTTTTAGAACAAAATATTTCAAAAACTACTTTTATTTATAAAAACTTGATTTTGGAAGTATTTTGGATTTGAATTTTTCGATCAATTTTCGATCGTTATTTTAGGTTTTTATTTTTTCAATCATATTATAACCGTTATTTTCAGTTTGAATTTTTTAGACCACAAAAGTTTAAATCGGTCATAAAAACGCAGTCTCCCTCAAAACGACTAAAAATCATCGAAAAATATTAAAATCCAAAATAACGATCATTTTTGACAAAAAAAAAATAAATAGAAAATTACGATTAAATTTTACCGACAAATTACTAATCCAAACTCAACTATTATTGTTTATTGAAAAAAAATAAAACGATTTTGCAATGATCCAAAAATAAATATCTGCATATTTAACGGTTATTTTCGTTCCATGCTTAGAATGTAATATATTTTTTTTTTTGTATAGGCAGCGAGACACCCTAATTTACATACATATGGCGAGAGCATATTTTGCCTTTTAAGTTACAAGGCAGCAAACCTATCTTTACAAGCTACATGTATCTCTTCAAGTATATGTATGTACATACAATATTTGTTTCAGCATACTTACATGTAAGCCCGAAATCTAATATCCTTTTAGTAATATGCACAACTGAAACATTAATCCTTCTTGTGAATATACAACTTAACCTTTTTGTGTTAAACAATGGAAAAATCATTTTTGGATCAAGTTGTAAACATACATTCACACTTGATGGCTAATTTCGTACAAATACATATTCACATCGAATTTCTTTAGCTGCTATAAATGCCATTTAACCTTTGCCAAAGGATATGATGTAGATTAATTGCTGACACTCAATTCGACGAAATCCACGTGGACTTCTGTTAACCCACATAACTTACAAAACCGAACATAGTAGATAGGTATCCCTTTGATTTGTCTCTGCTACACACATTTCACTAAAATCCTAACTTAACACTCGAAAGCGTAGTTAAGGCCAACCACGTATGTGTGTAGCTATATTTTAAAGAGTGAATAAAACTGAAACATGAGCAGAAGTAATGATTCGCATGGAATGATATGAGTAGCCAGCCCATGGGACCTTAAACCAATCAAACATTATTCGTTCAATACGAACTTGTTTTATAATGCGGTTGGTGAGTTAAACTATAATAACACCGTGCGACGAAATCTATAAAATTTTTAAAACACTATTTGAGTGCCAAATAAAATAGAAAGTTCTGGAAAAATACAAAAAATTAATTTTTTTTTTCGGTTCACAAAGACGAATAGGATTGAAAATTCTATTTTAGTAAATTTTATTTTTTAAAGCTAATAAAAATAGAAGAACGAATTCGTGTGTTTATTAGTCATTAGATAACATATACTTTTTATGAAGTGAAACTTCTTCAGCAGCGGTTGGTTGGTTGGGAGCAAATTGGCAAATTCAACGGAAATTTTACACGGAAATGGTGTCACAGAAGAATCACAACTCAAAATTTGGCTTTTTTTTATAAAAGTCTACCTCATTTTACATATAACTAACTGTGTTTAAATGCGCATTTGAAAATTTGTACAAAATTTATAAATATTCAAAAAAAAATTTGCCAAAATGTCAAGCTTTTTACTCAGCATTTTTAGAAAAATTTCAGGTACGCAGTTTTATAGCCAATTAAATTAAAGTAGGATATCATGCAAGTTTCATGCAGTTCCAAAATACCGTTGATTTTTAGGAATTTTTCAAACCATGCTGGGTATTTTCTTCCATATAAACAAATTGTGGAATATACTTTGTATGGAAGAAAATGCGTGACACCGCCAGCAAAAAAAAAATATAAAAAATTAACGTTACTTTTAGTCACTTGAAACTTGCCTTTTATCCTGCCGTAATTTAATGGGCTATACTTATAAAATTGCGTACCTAGAATTTTTCTAAAAATGCTGAGTAAAAATATTGAAACAGGTTGAGTCAAAAAAAAATTCAAAACACACCAAACTGCGTTTTTAGTTTTAGATTTTTTTTTGTTATCACTTTATAATTTCAAAGACATGACAAATTATAAAAATTATTTAAAAAATTCAGTGCAATGTAGAACCAAAATTGGTTGATATCAAAAAAATCTGTAGGATTTAAAAAAATTAAAATTTTTTGGATTCACACGAACGAATAGGTATTGAAAATGCCCCTTTAATCAATTTCACTTTTAAAGCAAATAAAATTAGAAGCACAATATTCAAGGACGTTGTGGAATTTATATTAATTCTCAAAATAAATTTTTTTCAAAATAAATATTGCAACAATTCTTAAACACATTTCTAATACCTTATGCACCAAAAAATTTTGGTCTGTTCTTTCTCTACAGAATTTTCATTGCACAAAATTTTTTTAAAGCATTTTCTGAATTAATCATATTACTCAATTTTCAATATGACGTCAGATAGAAAAACTAAAACCGAAATTTTACTGCACACATTTATTTAGCCCATGGCTTCGTGAATATATTGATTTGTTTGTGTGTAAAAAATTTCCAGTAGCACGGTGTTATGTGTATGTATAATTAGCTAGACATTTGTAAAAAAAATATTTGATGTTAAATAAACAAAAGAAATGTAGAAAAAACTGGTCAACATAAGGCATTTCTATTATTGCCACCATTGCAAATTATAAATTCCGAAAATCCCGGTGTTCTTGGCAAATAATTCCAGGATTTTCAGCACTTAAAAAAGGCCGGGATCGCGGGATTAACATCCGTAGTACTTTCGTATTCTCTTAAAATCCATTTCTAAATTACTCATACGCCCTGTTGCGCAATGTGCATTTAAATAATATGAGAAAATGAATGAAAATTCCATGTGGGTTACTGTTACATTTCGCGCAAGTATTTTATCCATCCTTATGTATATATGCCGTCCCTTAATTTTATTCATTTTTCTTTTTGGTTTTTTTTTGTACGTACATACATATGTTCACAGCCAATGTAGCCATGTATCTCAAAGTGAGAAAAACAACCAACGCAACGCGCATTTGCAAACTGCACTACATTTACTCACCCATTCGACCGCAATAAACAATTCCATTTTCATTTCATTTTCAATTAAGTCGACTAACTAAAAGTTGGTAAGATTGTTTGTGGTTTGCTGAGTAGTGGCTTTCACTTCCATCCTGTTGCTGTGCAGATATGTTTGCCGTTTTCCTCCCCCCAATCTGGTTTATTTCTATTTAGACATTTTCCGATCGCTTTAGCATTGCCTTGAACCATATAGTTGACCTCAGCGACTAAGTGTGCATTTCAGTTGAGGCTGAAAATTCATTAATTCATCGCAGTTGGCCAAAACCCACAGTAGAGCAACTATCCGTGTATATACATACAACCCATTGACCTCATTTCGAGTCAATTTATTTTCCACTTAACACTCGCTCCTCAACCGTGCTGCTGTATTTTTATTTATTTTTTTTCGTTGTCTCATTTTGCAGCACTGATTTTTACTCATTTACTTAGCCATATTCTTATATTCTTTTCAGCCCTTTTCATTTCCATATCAAATGTTGCCTTTCTCGTTGGTAGTTTACATTACATAAATATTTTTTCGCTGCCTCTTGTAACTCAATTGTATCTAAGTAAGTGTTTATTTGTATTCTTTCAAGGTTACTGGCCGCTCGGCTTTGTGTGGTGCAACATTTATGTAACCTGTGATGTGCTGGCCTGTTCGTCGAGTATACTGCATATGTGTTTCATCAGCCTTGGACGTTACTTGGGCATACGAAATCCGCTGGGATCGCGACACCGCTCAACTAAACGGCTAGCTGGCATAAAAATCGCCATCGTTTGGGTGATGGCCATGATGGTGTCGAGCTCGATTACAGTTTTGGGTGAGTTCAAAATAGGATGCTCTTAACTGGTTTTACTTTGTTTACTTGTGGTTTTGTTTTAATTATCTTTTGTTTAGAAAACAGCTCGTATTTATTTAACAAATGTATCTACTTTACTAACAATTTCTTTTTTTTTCTCCTTCTTTTTCTCAGGCCTCGTTAATAAGCACAATATCATGCCAGCGCCGAACATTTGTGTCATTAACAATCGCGCTTTCTTTGTCTTTGGTTCGCTTGTGGCTTTCTACATTCCTATGCTGGTGATGCTCACTTCCTATGCTTTGACAATACCGCTGCTGCGCAAGAAAGCACGCTTTGCCGCTGAGCATCCGGAAAGCGAACTCTTTCGGCGGTGAGTACTGCAATATTTGTATTTCTGTCATGTATACTAATTTTGCTGTTGTATTCGAAAGATACAAAATATTTAATTAATTGGCTTTAATTTCGTCGCTGTCATTGAAAAATTCACTATGTTCTACAACTAAGTGATGCACACCAATCTGGTTTTCTTTAACCGAGAGTAAAATTTTAAAATAAATTTTTATTTGTAATTTTTATGCAAAAAAAAAATATCTGATTTTTATTTTATAAACCCAAAATAACGTTTATTTTTGATTTTTATCTAAATTATCTGTAAATAGCAGTCTAAGCCTAAGTTATATATGCTTCATTATTTATGTACTATGTTGAGAATTTTTTTGTACAAAACTCTAGTGTTTCAACTGATACCGAACAAAAAAATTAAATTTAGATTTATATAACCCTAGAATGGGAGAGTCGAAAAAACTGGTTGGTCGACCCAAGTAAATTAATAATTGTTCCTATAAAAAAAAATATATTATGCTCTTTTCTTTAAGAATTAATCAACATTGTATTTAGTTTCTCATCAATGCCAAATCAAGTTTATCTTAACAAATTCCTCTCTGCTCATTCTTCTTAAGCTTAATTACTACCTTCTTACTATCCATAGATACTGAAAGTATTGGTATTAATAAGTGCTTATACTTGCTCTTCTTCTGCAGTTTGGGTGGTCGCTTTACAATACGACCGCAGCATAGCCAGCAGCAGTTGCAACTACACAACAATAGTAGCTTTCGCAGCAGTAATAATAGCCACACCAGCTACAGCAAGTACTGTGTCAGCGACAACAATCGCAATTTCAGCGCCAATAATCATGGCAGCAATGATGTCGGCAATAGAGACAATGGTGATTATGACAAACAACGGGCGCATGGCTTGCGGCATACAAACAATTCGAATTACACAAATGGCGGCGGCGGGGGCAATGCTGCAGCGTGTGCGGGTGGAGATGGCGGCGGTGGCAGTAGCGGCAATAGCGGCGGTGGTGGTGGCATCTTTGGCGGTACATTCCTAAATTGTCGCACAAGTTTTCGACGCAGCACTATACGTCATTCGTCTTCGTCATCTGTACGCATCAAATCTCCACCGCGTGACGCCAGCCGACTGATGCAATCACAATCAGCGCAACATAGTAGCTATTGGCGTTCGCACGGCAATCCAAACATAATGGATAGGTGAGTGAAAGTCTATTGTTTATATTATTTTGCATTTTTTTTAGTAAACTTAGCTATCCATTTACTAGCCAGAGAATAGCGCACCATTAGTTAACTTCGTAATTCGTGTAATCAGTTGTACTTGCGAAAAATGAAAATATAATTCAATATTATCACTGACTGAAAGCTGTCACATTTCAAATGTTAAATTTAATAACTTTGTTAACCCTCTCAAGGCCAGAAGCTTATAATTAAAAACACCTATGGTTTGAATTGTAAAATGTGATTTATCGAAAGCAAAATAAACAAATTCTGGCATAAAAAAAATTCAATACAAAACATAATTTTCTCCTAAAAATTTTCCTTACTTTCAACAAAAGCTGTTTCTTTCTTAACCATTTCATTCCAAAAATTTTTCATTATTATCGTTATTTTCTAAACTTTTCTAGCCCGCATCCATCGGAAATTTTCTGTAAAACAAAGTACATTATGCATCAATTTGATACTATCGATAGAAACCGATAGAAATATCGATAACAAAATGGATGACGAATTCGATCAAAATTTCGATAGCAAAATCGATAATAATATTGGTAGCAAAATCGATTATAAAATCGATAAAAATATCGAGAACAAACTCGATAAAACCGTTAACAGAATTAATAAGAATATCGATAACAAAATCGATAAATAATCGATAACAAAATCGATAACTATATCGATAGCAAACTCGATAAGAATATTGATAGCAAATCCGATAAAAATATTGATAACAATATCGATAACAAAATCGTTAAAAATATCGATTACAAAACTGGTAACAAAATCGATAAAAATATCGAAAACAAAATCGATGAAAATATCGATTATTATATCGATAAGTTTCGAAAATATTGATAACAAAATCGATAAACATTTCTTTAACAAAATCGATAAAAATATCGATAACAAAACCGATAAAAATGTCGACTATTATATCGATAAATCCCAAGAATCCCGAAAATCTCTAAAATCCCAAAATAGTTCCCAGGTTGAAACTCTGTGTCTCTTTTCTCTATAATTACCTCTATTTTAATCTTTCTTGCTCTCTCTTCATCCTTACTTTTATCGGAATCCTCATCTTCATCGTCTTCTTTATATTTATCTTTGTTTTTACTTTTATTTTTATCATTTTCTTCATCTACATATTCCCCTTCATCTTTGCCCTTACATATATAAGTAAAGTGTTAGAATTTACCTTGGTCTTCATTCTTGCCTTTATCTTTACGCATCTTTGTTTTTGTTTTTATTTTTACCTTTGCCTTTATCCTTTTCTCTATCTATGTACGTACTTTCGTTCTTGTATTGGTTTTTTCTAAGTGTTATTCTTTAACCTTTTATTATAAAATTTTTATTAAATTAATACCATTTGCATGCACTCAAGAAGCACTTGTTTCAGCCCCAACCATTTCCGTTGCACCAATTTTCATTGAATTTGCCTATTTACTCCCAACCAACCGCGGCTAAAGAAGTTTCACTTCAAAAATTCCTGAAAATCTATACACATTTGACGCAAATTATGTAATGGTGCGAAGGGCATGCAAACATTTTGTGTTCATGACAACGATTAAGTACTATACAATTTCAAATCCATTCTTGGTGTAGATATGTGGCAATGTGAGCTTTTCACCAATTTTGGTAAATTTTTGCAGTTATTGACTGCCTGAGGGCTCACTTTGGTGGTTAGTTACACCTTTCATCTGTTTTATAAGTTATTTGCGTTGCCTGACTTTGGTAAAGAATTCTGAGTTTGTATGTATGGCATCACCAATGACTCGGATACCTCAAGGATAAAGAGACGACAACGATTTGTTTCCTCCTTTTTCATCCAGAAGGGATTTAGTTCAATAAATACTATAAATGAATTGAAAATGGAAATATCGAGCATGTTGGCAAATATAGCCATTGTCCAACGATCAGCTTTCCGCTTGCAGCGATAAGTGCCGATTCTCTCTTCCAAATCATCTACTCCTTTTGTTTCATTGTGGTAGTGTGTATATTATTTCAGGTTTCTTTTCAGGAGAATCGCGGGCGTCCTTTGCTGTACTTGCATGCAATGTACTAAGACAAGTTACGTACTTATTATAATGAATGAAAATTTGGTTTATTTTTCATGTCCAAGAGAACAGGTGATGTTTCTTTGCGATTTTTCTTATGGTGTCAACAAAAGTCATCTTTCGCTATTTCAGCCGTTTCGCTAACTCATGTGATGTAACAAAATTATCACACGTCACATCACCATATCACATAAACCATCTGTTAGCTCCAAAACCATGCGCTGACCTTGATTGGAATGTAATCTCGATGGTAATAAAGTACCACGATACCATAGCAAAAATTATTTTTTCAAAACATTTGTCAGAATATTTGATCACATTACTCGCTCAAAATCATGTTTCAACTTGTCAGAAATAGTTCACTAGCAACAACACAAAATCACAAATGTAGTAGTTTCGATACCACATAATAAAATTTACACATCGCACACCTAGATCTAAAGTTCGATCAACTCAAAAAGTAGAAATAAATTGGGCGATATTTTTGCATAAATCAATTTACAGAACTCACATCCAATTAATTGATATATTTTTTCCTTCATGGTTATATACACTAACTTAGAAACTACTGTTATATCTGTTTTTGTATTAATTGCGTTAAATCTGTGCGATCCACAAGCAATTAAATTTCCCTCACTGAATTTTGAGTTAGCTCACTTTAGATCTAGGTATGCGACGTACCCGTAAGCATAGTATACACCCCGCGGCAAGTGACAGCACAACAACATTTTTACTAGTTTTGACTACTTTTCTTATTTTTAAGGTTCATTATTTTTATATAAAATTACTAGCAGACCCGGCGAACTTCGTCCCGCCCAAAATTAATTTTTTGTATTGAAACATTTTGGTACAACATTTTCACCAACAGTTCACGTCCATGATTTTCAGTGACGCGTTTATCTTCTAATATTACGGTTTGGTGGTTGTCGGAAGGCATATTTCCATTACCATCTTAAATAACCTAGCAAAATTGTATATGCATACAAAGATACGAAATAGCTTCAGTACCATTTGAAAGGCGCCACACCCCCCTTATAAAATAGCCACAATTTTTCCTAAGAGTATGGGAGTGATTTCTCATATCTCCATACCATGTTCAAGTACTCTACCATGAACACTTCCAGAGATATGCAGTGTGAAATATTCGGTTTGCATTGGAGGTGCTACGCCCCTTTTTCTTCAAATTTTTCTTCTTTCAAATTTTTCTTCATGACATACCAAGTTCCAGTACTCTACCATGAACACTTGCAGAGATATAAAGTGTGAAAAATTTGGTTTGTATGGGAGGTGCCACGTCCCCTTCACTTAGCGGTATGAAACATACTTTACACCCTATTGTCATACCTACGAAATATACACAAAAAATTTCATTCAAATCGGTTACGCCGTTTCGGAGGAAATCGACCACAAACACCGTGACACGATATTTTTATATATTAGATTTTTCATACAAAAATACCAAAAGATCTAAAAGAAAAAATAGGGAAAATTATTTTAGGATAGGGACACCCTAATCGCCAAATTCCTGTACTCTATCGTGAACACTTCCAGAGGTATGCAGTATGAAAAAATCGGTTGTATGGGAAGTGCCACGCCCCCCTTTTCCAATAACCACAATTTTTTTCCATGAGCATGCGATTGGTTTCATATATCTCCATACCATGTTCGAGCACTCTACCATCAACTCCTCCAGAGATATTCAGTATGAAAAATTCGGTTTGTATGGAAGGTGCCACGCCCCCTTTCCAATAACCACAATTTTTCTCCATGAGTATGCGATTGGTTTGAT